GATACCTGAAGTTTGTCACCAAGTACACTTACAATTTCTTTGGCCAGATTGCTTTGAACGAATCCAGGAAACAGGAAGCTATACTACAATATTGGTCTTGTAATGTAGGAGAGCCAATAAATTGTCCAACCATATCGAATATACAACTGAAAGAGACACACATTTAAAGGTCAAAGTAGTTCTCTAAAGCCCAAAATAGAGATTCGCTCTTCAATGCCAGCGAGATTTTTATTATAAATGACACTCATGTATATTAGCAGAACAACCTAGTAGTTTAATACATCATAGAMTGTAGCCTTAGCAATACATTACATAAAGGAGCATCACGCAAATAAGTTCAACATCCATACTACTTGTTACGGTAAACTCCTAAGCTCTAAGCTACTGTTTTCATAGGGGCAAATAATACATAGAACCCCGTAATAACTAAGTACAACTTCCAAAATTACCTCTGAAACTTTGTGCAGATAGCTTCAAACCAGAAAAAGGGAGATCCTTGTTGATGCGAGTACAATTAGTCCAAACCAGAAACCAGACAGCAAAAAGCAGCACACATGGAAAAATCATCTAGACTGACATAGACAATAAAATTGGAGTGAAGTTACACATATATTTAGAAAACAACTCGCAAAGAAGACATCAGCAGATTGGATAACCTCTAGTAATACCTGATCAGAAACATTCCGCATCTAAATTCCTCCAGTTAGTGCCTCCACCAGACGCGATGCGATATTGATCTCGAGCTTGTTTCTTTGACAGTGCTGGTCTAATAATATTCACAAATGCCAGCCAAAGTTCTGAATATCAGCACTCTTTCTCTCCCACATTCCTCCAGAACACACAGAAACAAACAAATAGAATACACAAGGTATGAGCACACATTTATCTTATAGGATTCCATTGACTGTATTGGTAAAAAGAAAAATCCAGACGCTGCTGAAATTGAAATTGAAAAATGGTCGATTGAGTTGGAAATCTGTCGTGAGTAACAAGGTAATTTAATTTGAATATGAAACAGGTACCTAGTAGAGAAACTGTGCAGCCAGCTTAACCAATTTAATGGTGATAGCTGCTCAATGTCCCAAACTTATCATCCTTGGTCGATTCACCCCTAAATTAAAGAAAACAACAAATATAGAAATCCATAACTTCATTAGACGTGTAAATGTTAAAGAAGTCATCCCTTGGAAGAGGAGACTCGGATCTATAAACACAATCAAACATCAAATCATCTTTTTAATACCATAATCACTTATCTCTGTATTAATTCGGTGCACATCTTTAAACCCATTCTTGACT